TTGGAACACCTTAGACAGCACAAGCTCTCCTCACACGACTTTGGAGGCATGTGTATTTGAGAATGTGATAAAACTCTAGCGAGCATCACCGGGAGGCAATCTTGTGCTTCTCTGCCTTCCTCATCCAACACAAATTTTACTGATGAAGTTCAATATTTCTGATATTAGGTTATTTCGAAAAAAATGCACATCAGTTCCTCAATAGATGCAGTTTGACTTCTTTTCAAGTTATTAACGCAAAAAAAGTCTTTAAATTGGAAGAGCAGGGCGTTCAATTCCCACTAGCCCACCCATGTCAATAGATCGTGCTAGAGTCCCAACCCAGAAACGCATAAAGCGTCACAAACCTTTCGTTTGAAAACATCGTCGTTGTTCATTCCAGCTAAGGTTTGGTAGTTGGGATCATAAGTGCCTGCCATTCTGTTCTGCTGTGGAGGCCTAATGTTACCGCCTCCTCCTCCGCCTGCGGCCATGTCACCTCCACCCTGAAAATCACATTATTTTTCTAGAAATGAATATTCGGTCTGGTAGAGAATAGATGAGGTATGCAGCTTGGAAAACTGAGTAGTAGATGATGGGCTCATTTTGCATCGAAGGATGGAAAGGGAAAAGCACGCGGTATCTACCAAAGCCTTTTGTTGCGCGCCACCCATTCTATTAAATTTTTTCTGCGCCACGTATTTCGGAATCACAAAGGCATTTTCAATGCTATCTAGCCTTTCATTGACCTGCGAGGGCCAGCCGATGAATAAGTCAGTGTTTCTATCATTCCAGACAACAAACCTAACCCGGAGAGTTAGAAGGTTGACTAGCCTGGGCGGGGTACGATCCAGGATTCTCTGCTCGGACCATGCTCGGCGTAAGCAACGCCATTTGCCACTACACCACTTCCGCTCCTTATCCCTTCCATTCCTCCAATGAATTGGTAAGAGTCTTGTTCGGGAGCATAAAAACACGGACTTGTAAATTGGTTGGCCCCGCAAGCCACTTTACAGGCCAAGTTGAAAACGAGTTCAAAACGCCGCCACAATTCTGAATGGAAATAGAGGTGTGTGCCGCTTCCCAAAAAGGGGTTGATTTGCCCGAATGCTCCATTTGTCTCATATACTACATATAAAAATATAGATAGAGAAGAGAAACTATCCCCATGAAGAAACGAGCTCTGGTGATGGTCACGCTTTTTAGTCAATAGGTATTCCACTCAAAAAGTTTGTCAAAGAGGATTCGAAGGAAAACACATGAACTAATAGCTATTGAAGGGTGGTGCCTCACCTTTGGTTTGAATACATCTTCGTTGTTCATTCCGGCTAGCGTTTGATAGTTTGGATCATAAGTTCCCATCATTTTATTCTCTGCTGGAGGTCTGATGTTCACATTGCCGGCATTCGGAACTGCATTCGGAGCTGCAGGTGCTCCAGCCTAACAACGATTGTTAAATAGCTATGAAGTAGTTCGAGAACTTACTAAACTAAAAAGTTTGAGACTGAGGATGAGGATCCAAAATGAAAGATGTGCTGATCACCGATCAAGGATTTGGACTATCACACGACCTACCCAAGGAGGCACACATTCTGTACTGTGCTCTAGCTTACTACTTCTCCTGTCCAGCACGTTAGGGGGCCATTTTATCGACTTCAGGTTAAAAAACAAACTTGGGTTGCCAAAAAGGACTGAGCTACAGAGCCCAGCACGGGTTCTTGAGTTTGAACTAGATAACAGGGCAAGCACACGCTGAAGGTTTGATTATGGTCCAGAAGATAATTTGTGCTTGGTAGAAGAGACCACTCATTGCCAAGCAGTCTACCGATGCTCCTTTAGTTCGTCAAAAACAACACCAAGTGCACGAGTACCCTAAATCGCGAGTGCAGATACTAAAAGGCTTAGTAGCTGGCGGCCGAGAATAGTAAATGTAAGTCCTCTCTCACACTGGAAATAGTTGAGGTTATCTATGGCCCAGATAGGGCTCAATAAGCATGCCGGGCGATTGAGTCATTTTCGTAAGTGTGAGTAAAAAATTGTGACTGACCTTCGGCTTAAATACTTCGTCGTTGTTCAAACCGGCTAATGTTTGATAATTTGGGTCATAGGTCCCCATCATTCTGTTTTCCTGAGCAGGAGGTGGTCGAATATTGAGTCCCGGCCTTAATTATGAGATATAGTTAGGCTATTAGTTTGTTTACATATTGCGCATCTCACGAACCATTATCGTATTGCATTCATAGCGCAACCTCAAGCAGGAAAGTCGGGTGAACGTGTTCCCGCTTGGTCTTGTAGGATAGACCCATCACCCGTTTTGACGGGAAACTGGTTCCACCTCACCACACTGAGTGATCTCCCACCAGCGCGATAGCTCATTTTGGTTATATAATCCTATCGCGCACTGCTCTCCCCGGCGAATGGATCCATGGTAATAATCATCCCTATGGTGGTGATATTGTTGGTAAATTGTTTCTTTGGAGGCAAAACTTAAATAAACAAAACTGTTAATAATTGACAACAGAAAGAATATCCTTCTATTTATAAAGCGCTAACTTTGTGTGTCGGTTTGTGTATCTGTATGTGTGTGTGTGTGTGTGTGTGTGTGTATGTATGTGTGTCCGTCCGCAAAATGAAGTGAGTGAGAAGGAAGCTCATGGGATAAACAAACCGCTAACAAATCGGGTAGCTTACAGGATTTGAGATATCAATGTTTTGTAGCAGGATAGTTGTGATAACACTCTTAGGGCTATATAAACACCTGCTTAGCACACTTCCGTTCATTCCACATGGTGCTGCAGTGGCAGCTGGAGGGCAGTGGAGAGAGGAAGGGAGGATGAAGGGAAGCGAAAAATCTACCGTCATATCATGATTGTGTCCCTTCTACTGTATGAAACACCATTGTGTTGCATACGCGTCACTTCCAGGTGTTGGTGTCACAGGAGGAAGGGACCATAGCGGAGGATAGAAAGCTTGCGCAGGAAAGGAAGGTCCCGGCGGTTGACGGGGGACTAATCTGGTTTTGAATAAATCAGCAAAAAGACATAGTTTGCAGAAAGCGCTCGTACGGCTGTTCCCGGATTTGATAGTCCTTTTGTGGGAAAATGTCGCTATGCCTTTCATTTTCAGTTACGATAGCCTTGATCTGCGTGTGCTTTACGACAGAAATATGATAAATGTGAAAAATTGCCTGTTTCTGGGAGTCCTCCTTGTCCGAAACCGATTCTGTTGTCTGAACAAGTGTAATTACAGAAACCCAGCAATGACAGTTAAGCACTGCCAAAATGCCAAGTTACCTTTGACTTCCCTTTTGCGCAGAATATATGG